GTAGATTACAAACAATATTATTTTTTTATTATAATATAATTTTATCCTTAGAGTATTTACAACGAGTTTGTATTTTGTTTCTTTTCTTCGAAATACTGCACCTGGTTAAATAATTCTTTCTAGTCTTTTCTTCTTTTTAAATATATAACTTCATAAATGTTTTTTCATGATGTTAAAATATATATAAGAATCTATTCATAATTTTTGTATATTTCCAAAAATTATGGAAATTCATAAAAGAATTTGCAGACGCGAAGAAATTATATAGATGTATTCAATTAGCAAAGAACACTTTATACACAACGCGTTAAATATTTTTTCAATATATCTCAATAATAAATGCACAATGTTTACTATAGGCATATATTTTTTGAGCTTTATTCCACTAATAAAAAATAAAATTTTAACATTTTTTTTATATTTATCGCAAAAATCTGCATATAATATTCTATTGGTGTCAACGAAAAAGTAATGATTCGTTATATTTTGAATGATAACGATAACGAGTTTTTATTTTTGCAAATCGATAACGAGTAATGGGAATGAGTTATTTTTTAGGAAAAAAAACGGTAACGGTACCGTTATTTTTATGAGATAACGTTGCCAATTCTATGTTTTGATATCAAAATAATGATAAATAAAACGTCAGTTTGCTTGCTGGGATATATGAAAAAATATTTAACGCGTTGTATATAAAGTTATTTGCTAATTACATCTATATAATTTCTTCGCATCTGCAAATTCTTTTGTGAATTGAGCGAAAAAGAAGAAGAAGAATATTAATTGTGTGTAGGGCAATAAGTTTTTTAATAAAAATTGATTACAATATTGTTATTGTTTTACATATATTTAGTTATACTTTGGAAATAATATTATTTATATAAACTATCAAGAATATATTTTCTATTTACATTTCTTAACTTAATAACATTATAAATATATGAAATGACAATATTAAAAATTTTGTAAATATTATGCTCAATAAATGTAATATGATTTAGAAATTGATTCTATTTATTTCATCTTAATGGCGGTTATTTACTACTTTATTCTGCTTAAATTTCTAATATTACATCTCTAATGTTATTATTTTTATTATCTCTAATACATTTCTATTACATTAAAAAACGAATTAATAAGAGAATTCTAATATAAAAATGGTATTAATACTCGTAAACGTGCATTCGAAAGCTTTGATATTTCAAACTTTCCTTTATTCCTTATATACACGTAGTTTACATTTTTGTTATATTTATTGTAATAATTATATTACTAAAATCCGTAATGTAATTATTTATTTGGACGATAAATTGAAGCTTTATCAATTGATTAATAGATTGATTAAAAACAGAATGTAAAATAAATTTTACATCCTAATTTTATATTTTTGATTGAATTGTGATATAATATTATAAATACTAAATAGATATTGATCTAAACTTTTATTATAAAAATTGTTATTTGACAAGAGTTATCTCATATCAAATTAGATACGTAATTTGTCAAGTACGTAAAAATTTTTTATTAATTCGAGATCAATTTTTTCTTAATAAAAATTCTGAAAATATTAAGTAAAATAATTGACTAAACTTAATAGAAACTTAATAGAAAAAAATTTTAATTACAAAATATTTAATTACAAAATATTTAATTACAAAAATATACAATATTACAATATATTTGAAACTTGAGAAGCTGCAAAAACCGATTGCAAACTTATCGAAGCATCTGCCATAAAATTTGGTGTATCTATATATACTTAGATATAAATGCCTGACAACCTTTTATCTACTAAGCTGCTATTTTGCTAGATAATAATGACAAAATATATTCGTGCTTTATACTGTTCAATTGTCAACTTTAATAATATAATAAGCTGTGCACTTCACAACCGATACATTATTAATTTTAGGCCTTTATTAGTCTGTAACTCTTAATTACAGTGTCGTTATATTGTATTTTTTACTATGTTTAAAATTTGCGCAACGACAGTGTAATGACAGTGTAACGACATCATCAACATTATCAATGTTAAGAGTTTCAGAGACCTTAGTTTTCATTATTTTATAGAGATTCTATAGGTTTCTTCAGTTTATTCTTCACGCACATCAAATTTGTATCACGCTTTATTCGCACGAAATAATTCCGAAAGTTAAAGTTTAAATATTTTTTTTACTGTCACAAATATATCAATCGGACACAGCTGGAAGGGTCTGCAGATACTCGCGAGGGATCGCAGGAGCCGGAAGCAAGTAGCCATCCGGATCCAAAACGTCCGGGGTTCGTAACAGCACTGGACCTTGCGGCGGTCTGGGCAACGTTCCTTGCCGGGTTAATTCGTTTTGTGTTTTTTCTAGCCTCTCCAGAATATCGGGAAATTTGATTCGTTCCCGCGGTTCGATCTTCCAACAATCATGCATTATTTGGCAAACGATGGGCGGACACTCGTCTGGTGGAATAAGCATTGTCCCTTGAAGTATGAGTTTCACGACCTGGAATAATCATTAAGGAAGACGTACGATCTCCATTTAATAGAATGGATGAACTGAAAAATAAATTTTAGGGTATTCTTGCATGGTTTAACCTCTTCGTTATTGAATCCGTAGTATGGCTGCTTTCCAAATGAGTAAACTTCCCAAAGAACTACACCAAAACTCCATACATCGGTCTCTAACGTGAACCTGCCATATACTACACTTTCCGGCGACATCCAACGTACTGGCAGCAAACGTGATCCTCCAATCTGAAAAGGATGTTAATTATAATTTTATATGTTTATATAATTTAGTAGTAGTAATGGAGAGATCAATATCAGTCCCTATATATATCTGAATCAAAAAGTACACCTAAATCTAAATTAGTATATATAGTTCCTTTAATTTGTGACTCTCGCTAAGTTAAAATGGATTATAAAATGTTTCGTAAATACGAAATGCGGGATTTGAATTCGTAACCTGTCGGTTACGTCGCTCTCATATATCTCTCTTTATTATATAATTATATAATTATATAATTAAAAATTATAATAATTTTCCGTTAATAACATCTGTGTCAAAGAAATGGAGAAGATATAAAACTATGTAAAAAATCTTAAAATTTTCTGAAGAGTCCTTGCCCAGTTGGCATGTGCAAGAGACATCATAAAAACATCATAAAGATATCTTTGAGATTTTGATACATTATATACATTTAAAAAACATTAAAAATAAATAAGTCTTCTAGACGCACGCACACACACGCAGCGCGTGTTTTATCGAGATATATTATTGTTACAAATTTATTTTTAACCCTCCACGAACCAGGTGGGGTGTGACAGTCCCAGCAAGATGAATTGCTATAACTTTTTAAAAAATATACCGCGTGTATGTTGTCGGTTCGTGCAACTAGAGAATGCATTGTTACCAATCATACTAAATTATAGTATACTTATGATGAATGATACAACATGGGGCATGAGATATATATTCACATATGATCTATATTGATTTTCCATCTGGTTCCCAGAGAGCTAAAAATTTTACCTTGTAATAGTCACAAGTGTAAATATCTCGTGACATGCCGAAATCAGCGATTTTCACTATTAAGCCTGAGCCCACCAGGCAGTTTCGACACGCTAAATCACGATGCACGAATCTTTGCGCTGACAGATACGTCATGCCGGCCGCAATTTGAATCGATATCCAGTGTAGCGAATCCTATAAATAATGACGCCATCGTTAAAATACTTCTATCGATAAAAAATTTCACTAGAATTGCAATATATATATCACGCAATAGTGCATTTCAGATAGAAAAAAAAAACATTGAAATGTCACACTCCAATTCGCGTGCATAGTGAATCATAATTCAAGATGCGATGAGAATTGCTCTGACAACTCGCGATTAAAGGCGGAGCTTCCACGTAAATTCACTGATGTCATTGCACAATTTCCTCAACTAAATTCTATTATAATTCTATTATTCTTCAATTAATTACAAGGTATTGTGACACGATACCTTCGTTAATGGCTGTAATTCAGGTTTCGAAGATCTTAATTGCGAGGAATTTGCTCGTAGTACTTCGGCGAGGTCACCATACGGCATATATTCGAATACCATCCACGGATTATTCGTCGTATCTCGAAGTACCATGCCCTTTAAGGACAAAATATTCGCATGGCCGAACGTAGACATGATGTCCACTTCGCGCATAAAGTCCTGCTCGGTTTCGGGCGTGGCAGTATCTTTCAGAACTTTTATAGCGACAATCTCCTTCGTGTCTCCATTGTGCCACTCGCCTGTAAAATTTTTATTATGAAATATCTAATATTACCTAGCGATAACTCTATGAAATCAATCCTACGAGAAACTATATTAAAAAATTATGAAAGAAATTTATTTCCCGATGTTATAACTCCTTAATTTGTCTCATTAAATTGATTAGAAGAATTGATTTAAAGAATTGATAAACTTTTTATTTTATTTTGTTTCCACATATATTATATACATAAAATTCTACCTTTGTAAACCTTTCCAAAGCACCCTTCACCGATGTCGTGAAGAAATATAAGATTTTCACGTTGTATTATCGGAACCCCCGGAGGCGTGCAGGTAAAATATTGAGGATTAGACGTATACTTATGCGCTAATAATAAGTCTTTCTTCAAATTTATTGGAGTTCCCTGATAAAATACGACGAGCAAAATAATTATTAAGAATAATTAAAAATTCGGAGATATTAAAAATATCCGTGGGATGTACAATTAATGAAAGAATGTAAATATTGAAAAGTGGAAAAATGACTTTGAAATAAATTTACTATTGTATAGATTATAAATTATTTAAAAAAAGGAAATTTTAGATTCAGATTAGAAGAACACACAGAAAACATAGTGGAAATGTATGAATCATTGTTTATGCATTTTAGAATGGCATTATTTCAAGAAAAGTTGGACTTACATCTAAAGGACTTCTTTGCGATTTGATGTTGTAACTCCGTTTTCTTACGCCATATACAATGCTTAATAAGAGCACAATTACCGCGACAAAAGCTACAACTACTCCTATGATTTCAGGTACTTTGTATTTCAATCCCACTACCTGTCACATTGATTTTGAATAACTTATTATACTAGTAAACATAGTAGCAGATTTATTGCAGATATCTATATATAAAACTTTAATTTTAGTGGATATAATATACCTGTTCAGCTTCCGGAAGTACATTTGTGCTGTTTGTGCTGTTGTTGCCGCTTGGAGGTATTATGTTATATATAGGACGAGGCGTTAAAGGAACTAAAATATTGTTATCATATTACATTATGTCACATTAATCTTAATATCTTATTGTTTTATGTTTTATTAATACGGTTTTATCTTTATTTATAATTTTTGGAGTCGATTTTGGAATCGATTCATTGTCACCTCTAATTTCTTCATTTCTAGATAACTTTATTCATAAGGTATCTCCTAGATTATAATGTAGATATTTCATGGATAAAATTATCCGCATTTATTTAGAGAAGAAATTAAGCATTAATCATGCCCTTTTAATTTTTCAATTGTCAAGTAAATCATTGTAGCAAACTATTTCTACATTTATTTTGATATTTAAAATTGTTCATCTTCTGTAAAGCTTTTGTAAAAGAGTAGAGTAGCTTTACCGATTAGACGATTTGGACATTTTAAATCTGATGTCGGCAACGATAAGTCATGAGGACACACACATTTCGATGTATTATCCGCGAAGCTACGACAGGCCGCTTCCTTTCCACAAATCCATGGATTATCCTTGCATGCTTTGATCTGGAAGTTTCCTAGCAAAAAGAATTTCAATGAATAACTACAGAAATTTACAAAAATAGCAATTTTGTAGAAATTTTTTATTTTCTTGTAAATTTTTTTATATTCGCAAAATATTTGTATTTTTTGTAGAAAAATCTATGCAATAATAAAATAAATTACAATTTTCTAAAATCAAGAAAATAATATAAAAAGTAATATTTCACGAAAATGTACAATTTTTTAGAAAATAGTCCAAAAATCTACAAATTTTGAAAATTGGAAAATTTGCACTACAATCAACAATTGCACTACATCTGGCTGATGTTGATTGGATGCGCTCAGTGATAAATTTGTAATAAAATTATTTTTCTCTACATCTTATGCTCCCCTTCAGTAACGGCTTAATAAATATTTTTGCAAGTCTAAAACTAATATTCCCTTTTTTTTAAAAAGGGCATTGCATTTATTTATTTATTAGCAATAAAATTTAATAAGCTTTATTATTTTTTCCTATTGTAAAAATCACGTCACAAAGTTATATAACGAAATCATGTAATTAAAATATATAAATTACGTAACGGATTGTTCCAAATCAATACGTGATTTTTTTTTAATTACGTAATTTAAAAAGTCACATGATAAGTTTTTTTCTTCTATTTTTATCACTTAATTGTTTAAAATTTGATAACTATAAAATCATATGAAACATTAAATTATTTCTAATATCATGTGATTTTTTAAATTACGTCATTTTAAAAAATTACAAACTGATTTGGAATAATCCGTTATTTGATTTTACTTGTTTTAAATACATGATATCGTTATGTAACTTTGTGATTTTTTTCAGTAGGATTGCTTTTTTTGTGCAAAGAATTAAAATTTATAATTAATTTAAAGTTATTTTTTCCTTAATATTCTTGCAAATATTTTTGTTTGAAAATTTTCTTTCATTCCTATACATATATTAATTTTAACCGTTTTGAAGTCATCCGTATTGAATTTTAATAACATAATTTTCAAATAGATTTCTAAAGAACTCACCCATTTTTGTCTAATATATGTATAATATGTATAAAGATTGCTTAATCATTATCAACAATGTAAATAACTATTATTTATCATAAGAGCCCATGTTGAGCTCATGTTTTGGCATTCTGATAATTGTATGATATAAATATCCGTACGTTTAATAACTAGTAGATTTTTAATATTATAAGAATAATTCTCAATTTGATTTGTAATATACCGATTATAACTGAAAACATTATTAAAAGTCAAAATGTTTGTTTTATTGTGTGATCTTGTTTATTAATTTATCATTTGTAATGCATAATAGCGCAAATAATATCCAAGTCGATACATTAGCTTCTACCTATATAATTTATTTCTTTAAATTTTTATTCATAAGAGCTTTTAATTTATCATTTATCAAAAATAAGCTAATTGAGCCGATACAAGTTATTTGTGTGTAAAATTATATTAATCAAACAAATTAAATTGACATTTCGAGTTTTTGATCATTTTTAATATTGTACAATATTCCACTTACAGCGAATTAAATCCAAATAAAAATTGTACAAAACAGTAGAATAAAAAAATTAAGATCAAATTTGCAAATATCGTGAGGCTATTATCCAAAAGTATATAATATAATAAATATCAATATGATTTAATAAAAGTTAAATGTCTTTAATATTTGATTGAATATTTGAATCGTGAACAAATGTCTTCAATATTTGACTAAATATTTAAATCATGAGACAAAAAGTTAAAATAAATTACAGTTTGTAAAATAAGTTCATTATTGATCAATGTTAATAAATTAATATAAATTAATTAAAACTTAGATAGATAATAAAGTCATAATAAAATGTATAAGTGTGGAATAAAAGCAGAATAATAAATGTTATATCAGACAGAAGAGAATAAGACAAGTGAAATATGTGAGATGTTGATAAGCTTATGAAAAACAGTCAAGAGGATAAATGTGTTTATATAAATAGATTAATAAATAAATAAGTATGGAAGAATTAAGACTCTGTAAAAAGATCAATATACAACATCAGTATATAATCTAAAAAATCTTTATTTTGAAAATTTAACCCTACTTTTATTTTCGAATATTGAAAATCAATTCTCTTATTATTTAATGTTTTTTCCTCGTCTAATATCTTGATACTGTTCCTATCAAAAATCATATACCAAATTAATTCTGTGTTCTATAATTATAGAGTGCTGGGTGATATTTCTATTTATCAGTGAAAAATATAAAAAAGCTCATCAGAACTATTCAGGTGCATAGAAAACTCTTTATTCTCGTGTGAATGTAACAAAATGTTTCGATTCTTCAATTTGAGTCAAATAAACATTTCGATTTTTCAATTTGAGTCCTTATCAATATAAAATATATATCTAAACATGAGTAACGCAAATTGCCAAGATGGGGATTCCCGACAATTTAGCTCGTTCTTCTGTGCCAAATTATGTAATGAATAACCAAATGATTATTAAATAATAATTTATATAAAAATATTAACTTATACAATAATAATATAAAAACATACATAAAGTAAAATCGGAGTCATATACATTACGTTAAGTAGAATCACATCGCGCTCATCAGATTGTCAGATTGCTATGTAGTTATTCAAAAGAAAAACAAAAAACAAAAAATTAGAGAATTATTAAAATTATTTATCTGAATTTTAATTTTATTATATAAATATAATTATATAACTTACACGTAAGCATTTCTCGCGGCTTGACGTAAAGGTCTTGTGGTGTCGAGAAGACAGTCAGAGATGAAATGAGAGTCAAAATAATAAAATCATGTAGTTATTGAAATAAAAATAAGAAGAAAGGGGGAAAAACAATGTGACAATTCCGTAAACAAATTCATATATAGTTGGTCATATATAGTTGGATAGTCTAAAGAATATCATTCTGTAAATTCTGCAAACTCTGTTTCTGTTGCTTTATATATGAATCATTTCCGAAATCAGTCTTTTATTAAGCATCCTTTTCTTCTAATATCTTGACATTTTCCCAATCAAAATCATGCTGATGATTAATTCTGTATTCTGTTATTACGGAATGCTGTATAGTTCCAATTTATGTGATTTCTATGTTCATTTATGCGTATCTTCAAACATCTATCTTTGGCACACATATGATACTTCACAATCTCGACAATTTTATATACAACGTTTGTATGAGATGCTTGGAACGAACGTCTTTATATGATCCTTGATGAACCCCCTAAGATTATTAATCTCCTTATATGTCATATATATTAAGGAGTCTTTTTTAAAAAATTTTTTGATCTTTTCTGATAAAAAAGATGAGGATTGTAAAAAATCTGTGATTAATTTTATCTTCATTATTGTCTCTTGTCTTGTCTTTAAGTATGTTACACTGATCATTCCATTGTTTAAATTTTTTTGATAACCTATTTTTGATTTCTGAGAATATGAGTTCCTATGAATATCCATTGTTTAAAAGAATTTTAATTATTAATTCGAAATTCTCTTAATGATAAATAGGATGGGACAAAGAAAGAATTCTATTAAACGGTTGTTCCTTTTTTTGGCATAAAGAATGTCTAGAGAAATAATTTAAGTAACGATCAGAAAAAGTAATATACCAATTATGAATAAGAGAATTTTCTTTTCTAATTAAGATGATCCTTTATGCTAAAATGAATATCCATTGAAACTCATATTCTCAGAAATCAAAAATAGGTTGTCAAAAAAATTTAAACAATGACCAGTATAATACTTCTAAAGACAAGATAACGGACAGAATTAAAGATAAAATTAATCACAGATTTTGTACAATCCCCTTTATACCTTTTTTATCAGAAAAGATAAAAAAATTTTTTTAAAAAGATTGTGACATTGTTTTCCCCGTTCTTATTTTTATTTTTATTTTACTACATGACTTTTTTTTTTATTTTGATTCTCATTTCATCTCTGACTGTCAACACCACAAGACCTTTACGTCGAGTAGCGAAAAACGCTTACATGTAAATTAATAAAATTCAGATAAATGATTTTAATAAATCTCTAATTTTTCGTTTTTTTCTTTGAATGACTATAGCAAATCTGACAAGCTGATGAGCGATGTAATTCTATTTATTGATGCAATGTATATGACTCCTGTTTTACCTTATGTAAGTTTTTATATTATTATTATATAAGTTAATATTTTTGATAATCATTTGGCCATTCATTACATAGTTAATTTAGCATTTGAATAAGGAAGAACGAGCTAAATTGTCGAGAATTCATCTTGGCAATTTGCGTTACTCATATATCAATTTAGATTTATATTTTATATCGATAAGGACCCAAATTGAAGAGTCGAAACATTTATTTGATTCGTTTTGTTACATTCACGCGAGAATAAAGAGTTTTCTGTGCATCCGAACAGCTGATATAGGCTCTGATGGGCTTTTTTATATTTTTCTGATAACTGATAAATTCTTTCTCATTTTATATATTTATTTCTATTTATGTAATTCCGATAATTCCGATAATTCCGATAATTCCGCTCATTTTTCTAATAGATAATTCCGCTCATTTTTTTAATAGACGACTTGTTTGGCCCATACAGAGGCATTGCAATCGTTAAAGGCTTTCTACAATAATAAGTCATTACCTAAGCTTTAAATTTTAAATCTTAAGAAATTGACTAAGAAATTAACTAATCATAATCGAATATGAGAAGAATAATCGACTATGATTGATCAATTTTTTATGACTTACAGATTTAAAACTTATTGTAGAAAGCTCTATATAGTTGATTTCTTAAACCACATTTGAATGCGAAAGAGTGAGTATCCTATCTTTCTGTATTCTAAAATAAAAATATTCAATTTATTAAGGCCGATATATTGTATGATTTTAAAAAAATTTTTGAATTTATCTGAGATCTCAGATATGTGTGGAATGGTAAGAAAGGTATTTAAATTCTTGTACCTATCTTGTTTATTCATAATGTGTTATTTCTGTCAAATTTGGAATTTAATGTAAGTTTTTTTTTAATAATAGTGAAAATTAATTCTAAAGGATATAATTATTGCTGAGAAAAATGATTAATTCAATGTTAATGATTAATTCAAAAGTTTTCTTGTGAAACACAGGATATGCAATAAGAGAAGATTCTATACTATTATTGTATTTTATTATTGTATTTTCTCTATTATTGTATTTTATTATCATATCGTAAATTCTAACACATTGGATGGCAAGAATAATAATTTAAATATTTAAAAGAAAAAATGGACTTATAATCTAATCATGTCTTATAAATATTATTTGTAAATAAGATAACTTCAAGGAAATCAAGTCGATCATCTTCCGTCAACATAATAAACTGTAATGTAGGGTGATATTCGTTAAAAAATTTTTAAATCATATTAATGTGTGAATCATATGTTAATAAAAAAATGTCATCAACGTTAAAGAAATATGTAATAAGTTTATTAATAAAATCTAGTATTTCATATCGTTTTGTGTAAGAAAACGAGCATATAATTTCAATTCGTTTCTAAATATAATAACTCAATTTATCAAAATCTTCCATTTCGCGTGGTCTTCCAGCTTTTAAATGACTTTCAGATAAAAAAAGATGAAGGATTTAAAATGAAATATAAATTTACAAGATTCCTACATAGCATGGTATGAGTTTGGTAGCGGATGGAACGTTGCCACGCGTCGGCGTCAATTCTGCCGGGAAGCAAAGAGATCGCCGTCGCAGATTCGTAGGATCGTTGCAAACGGCTTGTAAAGGGCAACCAGGGAAGAGAAAAAGGGCTGCATATTTGGATTGGGCACAGGAAGATAGAGACAGTGAAGGCATTCATTTGGTACTCTTGGAGCTTGTAACGGGTCAAAGCGTTATCTCTGCGGTCAGCGCTCTCCGACAACGAGTCTCGCTATGTGTACCTATTATCGCCCCGTATTCCATGCCCGCGTCGAAGTATCTTCATTATGAGATTTACCGCATTTATATGAGATCGGCAGTTTCTCGGAGAGATCGATCACCGTACTTGATGCCGGCGACATTACCCGCTGTAAAATATAACGTGGGATACAACGAGTTAACGTGAAATTCTTCGCCAGTTGTGACAATGAAATACAAGAAGGGAGAGACGATTTCTCCTTCATCGCGAAAGCGACGCGACTGCGTTTGACGATCGACCATCTCGTCTGACTATCTCGAGAGAAGGGCTGTTACTTTTTAGAGGATCCTGCGGACACATTTGCAATTTATCGAAGATTAATGCTGGTTTCGATACCATCTACTACAATCAATTATACTTTCGTAGACATCATGATTTTCGCATTTATGCCACATTATTACTGACCTCTGCTCTTTGCCATATAGACGACATAGAAACTATTGGCTTCTCCAGCTGACCCTCGATAGCACGAGTATCGCGTAGTAAAACTCGCGGAGAATTATTTTAGTTTACGCTTTACATCCAGTAATTATGATATAATGCAAAATTATACGCATAACTTGTTAATTTTTAAGTACTTGACTCGATTAAATTGTTTATTTATTAATTACTAATCTTAACGCTTTCTCTCGATGAGTACGAAATTTAATTATTCTTAAAAAATTAAAAAAACGTTACTATTAATTGCTTTTTATGTGATTCATCTTGATAGATGAGCTTTGAATTAAAATTTAGAAAAAAAGATTTATATAAATTTATATGAATGTGATAAGTTGCATTTTTAGTTGCATTTCAGAGATTCAATGTACAAAAAAGATGATTATTATATAATATTTATTTTATAATTTGTTTATAGAACTGTCGATGCCTGAAATTCTGTTTAATGTAAATTCTTGACTATGTTATAGTACTTTGTTGCAGTTAGTAGTCAAATTAAAGGGTGCTTTTGTCTCAATAGAGATAACAACAGATGGTAATGGCATTCGATCCTAATTGAAACTATATATTGTCTTTTAACTGTTATGATTAATGATAAATTTGGAAACTTCAATATACCCACATGTGGTGAGACATGTTTATTTGCAAATCCAAGCTTTAGACGCACAGACTACAATAGAGGCATTATATGAGCGGACGCTTCATTCTGCCTAAACGTGCAATTCATGAAAGGATCGAAAGAGATCGGTGAATATCGTAGGGTGCTCGTAAAACAATATATGTATAAATACACACAAATATATATACAAAATGAGATTTGCAATCAGTGTATAAATGATAAATTCTGTATAGAAGAATTTGTATAGAAGAATATCGAGAGAGAAAATTTCTTGAAAATTTCTTATTTTTTACTTGTTCTCTTAATATAATATTTACTTATAATTTTATCTTAATATAATTAAGTTTATTTAATAATTAAGTCAAGATTTTGATGAAATGTAAACTAGACTTTAATTAAATGAAAACTAAAGTTTTGCCACATCTATTTACTATTTTATTACACACTACCGGCCATTGCTCTGTGTGCATGTCATTGTGATAATTTAATACCAAATTTATACAAAACATTTATCTTTTATTATCTTTGACATTACATATGTAATTCTAAATAGTACGACATTATCTTTAACATTATAAATGCGACAAATATGGTTACTATCTCGAAACTGACTTATCGAAAGGTCGAAAGTACCGCGATATTAAAGATAACAGAATAGGATAAAAAACAAGTTGAGTTTCTAATTTCTTCCCAGAAAAACATTTGTCGATGGAAATGTAGATAAATTTAGTAACATAAATTCAAGTAGATAAATGTTTTCAACACCCATTCCTTTACATATTTTCTTCTTTTAATGATAAGTTTATATTTACAAGTATTAAGTACAGTCTCATTGAGAAATGACAATGAAACCGATGTCAATTCCATTATCATTTCTCATTTCTCATTGATATATATATAGCAATACGCTAAAAATATAATATATTTAAATTACCACTGGCGAAGATAAGATTGTTTTGTTAAGTATATGACGTAGACGATTTATGGCAAACAAATTTTTAATTATACCAGATTAATAATTGCTGTACAATTTTAAAATATTGACATAGGCTCATTTAGGCTCATAACAAATAATAAATTTACAAATAATAAATTTACGTAAAATAAAAATGTATTACTTTGTTATTTAATTTCAAATTCTCTAAATTTTTCATGAAATACTGAACAGAAATATATATAAATATTTCTAGGTCGCAGATATAATTACCGATTCATCATTATAAATCGCTTCATTTATTCCTGGAATGTCAGTCTATTTCCTATTTAACATAAACTTTAACTGAAACATTTAGATATTAACAGTGTACTGTGAAAGACAAATTTAAAATAGAAATGCGACATATAGAAATATTTCAACTGAAATTTATGTAAAGTAGCATTGTTTTATAAAACATTTCTAATTCTTATCGGTTAACGGTTTCTTATAACTAATATCGTGTAGAATTTATGGAGTAATTATATCGTTTTCACTGATTATTGGGAGCTTCTTGGTACTTCATGTAACAGGCCTAATTGAATTTGATACATTATGATATTAGATGACTCTAGTTTATTCCACGAATCTATTAACCCAATGAGACGCGGAACAAGCTACCGTGTGTATTCAGATTTCTCAAAAGAAGCTTTCAGGATTTCTCCGGTACAAGCAAACATGTATGTCAAAACAAACTTTCAGACTGCCATGAACATTTAATCGCACAAAAAATGTAA